CTATAATTTAAGACATATACAAAAGTGTCAGTATTTCCGGTATACTTTCAAAAATTAAATTGAAAATGTCCTAGTTTCAATACGCATGTTTAAAGTTTTGATCCCCTTGTATAAAGGAGTATGATGCGATATACAAAAAAAGCGAGTCAGATGAAAGGGGTATATATAAAGTATTTATTATTAAAAAATAGAATTGATTCATGCATTTTTAAAAAAGTATAGCAACATAATGTTAAAAAATGTAAAATATAATATCAAGAATGTTTTTACAAAAATAGCATATTTTTGCATACGGTAGTCATTTTCACCATGAAGACAAGTCCAGAGGTCAATTTTTTTTTTCAAATTAAAGTATATTACATTAGCTTTAATTTAAGGTATATATAAAATTGAAGCTGAAAAAGTTAATTTTTTGTAAAAAAATTACCATTTTGAAACCCTTCTTGTGGGCTTGTAAAGGGTCAAATGTTTACAAAAATATATAAAATGATAGGTGAATACCTAAGATATCTATAAAAAAAAAAAATATTGATTCGGTAATTTTAAAAAAGTTATGGCAATTTTAAGTAAAAAAAATTGAAAAAATATCAAAAAAATAACGATTTTTAAATATGTAATTATTTGGGGAATTTCCCCCGTTTACGGGGAACGAGGGAGTTTTTTCAAATTTTGAGGGTAATGTCTTTGACTAGATACGATTTGTGATCTTTTGACATATTTTTCATTAAAAATGGTCCAGCGAGAGCTGAGATTGAGCGTATACAGACACAAAAAAAAAAATAGTAAAAATAAAAAAAAAAAACACATTATAGTAAAAGTAATACCTTCACAGCTTGGCATTGAAGCTAAATCATAACTGTCTCTTTTATATTTTTTTAAAATTTTATTAAGATCATCATTAAAAAAATGTTATAACAGTTCAATAAAAAAAATGGAAAAATACCAATTTTCTAGTATTGTAATATTGATATAGTTTTCTTAATTTCTAAAATTGAGGGTTTTTGACGTAGTTAATTATTAAATCGGTAACTATAACTATGTAAACACAATTCGGCTCAAAATAACCATTTTAAGCATTAGGACAAAAATTAGATTTTAATAATCTAAATAAACGAAAACTATTAATTTTTTTTCTATTTTAGTGTTCATACAAGTTTAAAAATATTACTTTTAATGTCACATCAAAAGAATTTTTTGTGGAATCGCTAAAAATTATTAGCAGTTAATTAATATATGTAAAATTTATATAGAAATATTATCTTTAAATATTTTCAATAGAAAAATATATTTTTGGCGTAATTCTTAATATTATAAATTTATTTAATAGATGATGCCAATGTTTGAACTATTGGTTATTTTCAACGTAAAAAAATTATTATTAATAATTTCTAATTTTATTAAAATAAATAAAATTAATCAATAATTTAAAAAAAATTACATATGAAATTTATAAGTTTTATTTAAGTAGAGTGATCATTGCTTATCTAACACGCTATGAGTAATATATTAAAAAAAATATATTAAAAAGCAAAATAGCACAGTTATTTCACAAAAAATATAGATATATGCTCTTTTTGTAACCCACTAAATCTTTTTCACACTTTTACGTGTAGGCTTTACAATCAAATAAAATGAAGGAAAGTATATTTTATTGTTTGAAACTAAACTTTAGATGAAATATACTCTCTTGAAACCATCGAAAATGAAAGTGTGCTTTGTTGAAAACTTTGTTTATAACCATAGAATTGATTCAGTTTGAAATGCAACTATTGATGTAATGTTTGTCGTGATTGTACAGTAAACGATTTAAAATTAACTTAACGTTGATTGTAAAATACCTACAAGCAAGACCGTACCCCCTCCCTAATTTTTTCGTGTATATTTATATATATTATAGAATATACATATACTAAATTAGCTATACAATATTATAATAAAATTAGAGCAACACAAATTTTTATCTTACAACCACCCCAAAATTAATTTCCAGTTACGGCCTTGCCTACAAGCCTCCAAATATAAATACAATGTATAATTTTACATTTACGATAATATATCAAAATTACAATTGTTGAAAATGTAAAGAAAAAAAAGTATAATTGAAAAGTATTTCATTTAAATATTTATTAATATTTTCAAAATATCATATTTTAGCTAACACTTTATTTTTTAAAAAAGGTATAAGTTTTTAAGATTAGTGAATAATTTTTTTTCTACTTATAATATACTTAAATAATAGCCAAACTGCATAAAAAAAATATACCATATTATGACATTATTTTTGCCTTGAAATTTTGAAACTAAAAAATTTATATTCTACAGTTAAAATCAAACTATTTTTATATACTAATCATAATATTTGACCAAAAATCTAATAACAGATGCAGTTATTTGTTTTTTGGGGTGTTTTTGGTCAAAATACTAAAAAGACGTTGAGCAACCAGTAAAATTTTTTTGAAAAATCTGAAATCTTCACAAAATGCCTATTTTGTATAAAATAAAGTTAAAATGGTTCTCGTTAAAATTTCGAAGATCGTCTTTTTTTGATCCTCTATCTAACATTATCTACAGATTTACATCGAAGTGTTTTTTATGATAGTGGTTTTAATCACCATAAGATATCATCTATACTTGTCCCAACTATGCCAAGTGCACACTGTGTCGTGACCCCACTGTGCTACTGTTATCATTTTCTTGCATATACGTGTCAAATTTATTACATCCAAAACAAAGAATACATTTGAGACAGTTGCATGAAGTATTTATATTAATAAGTAGCAACATTTAATTATTATTAAATAATAACATTTATTTTACTATATTTAATAGTTTTTGATGGATAAAGAAAAGAAGTGAAGCTTTAAAAATCATTGATACACCAATTCGATCTGAGTATATGCTTGATAACTTATGTGGGCATAACAAATAGATACTTTCTGGCGATTTGATCTTGCAAAAAATTATGATATTTAAATCGTCTGCGCATAGTGCTACTTTTGTATATGGGGTGGAAAATATACCAAATTCTAAAGTAACCGAAAAGCAAGTGATCTAATATGGATTAAGATAATAAACTTGTTTTCTTTAATTGTTGTTTAACTATTAATAATTTTTTAAATAAAAGTAATTAAATTTGTGTGTACACAGGTGGAGCAGATCACAATAACAACTTCTATAACTATTGATACAATTAAAATTACGCTGTAACTTTTTGTTTTATAATTCCTGCATTTCTAGGTATAGTTAACATCATAGTTTTTCATTAATTGTTTTTAATAATAAAACAAACATTTTTTTTCAAAATTTCAATACAGCTAGTTTTTAGAATAACCTGTGAATTTAACAATAATCGATTTTAAATTAAGTAAATATTCAAAACAAAAGCCGCAGCTGTTAATACTAACAATATTTATGATACTATTTTTTTCAAGTACAGATTAATTAATGTGTAATTTATCAATAATACTTATAACTGTAGCTATAAAAGTATATATTTTAATTGATTATAAAAATAGCAAACATAGTTAAAACGAGTATTGTCCCAATAAAAATAATTAAAAAGCATTTTTATAGTATAAAACAAAATGACAGAAATTGAAAATTAGCAGTACATTAGCTCAGAGTAAAAAGATTCAAATGCAATATAATTGGAAAAATTTTTTTATACATATTTAACAAAACATATTACGTATTATTTAAGCCCTAAATGAAGCTTTTACACTAACCATAAAGCGAAATAACTTAAATAAAAAATGCAATTTAATTATATGAAAATTTTGTTTTTAAAAACGGTTTACTGAAAAATAATCAATATTATGTTAGAAGGTTTTTTGTTTTCAGGACGAGTAGTAGGTATACCGTTCGCAGAACCTGATTTAGAATTTTGAGGCCAAAGAATAATTGAAATTGTAGACCCTCATTTTATATTTTATATGGCAAAAATTCTATACTAAATAAAAAAGAAAGATTTGACATAAGAATCTGAGACTCCTAATAAACAGAGGCCATAAGGCACTGCCTACAGTGTTGAAAATGAAAACATAGTTTCTAAAGTAAGAAAGAACACTAAGTATTTGTTTTCTAAGCATAACACATGCTAACAATATAATATTAATAGGTCGGTGTTCCTAATAGTGAAAATAATTTTCTAACTAATCGACTGTAAAAAAAAATAAAATAGAACTTCCTTAACAGAAATTAATACATTTTTGTAGGCACATTTTTAGCATCGAAGCGAACCTGAGAATGTATTTTAATATTACTATGATGAATCAATTAATAAAATTTAATTAAGTATACCAATATAAATTCTACTAACTCTCGTATTTTACATTAACTTAATATATATTTATTGTGTAAACAATGTTTTATTGGATATTACTGAAAATATTAATCTGTCAAGTTTATCGCTCAATTAATTAGTGATTAATTATTTAAATATTTATCAATGATATCGTATAATTATGAATTATTGATTAACGTAAAATATACGCAAACAAATAGTGTTAGTTTATTTGTTTTAATGTTTATAGTATATCAAATAGATAACTACTATAACTATTTTTAACTTGCGTTAAAAAATGTTTTTTTCTTAATGTGAACATCAGAAAATAAAATTCATTAGAATTGTAAAAAATATAGTTGGCATGTTATTTCTCTTGTAATTATCTCGCCGATAAAATTACATAACACGAAAAATTCAATTTGTCTAAAATTTATCTCGTCGTTTATCTGTTTTCACTAAGAACATTTATTGACTATTTATACTACTGCCAAAGGTATTACTATAAACATGGTAATCTTCCGATGTAAAGTAATAATCATTATAGTCAGTCGTTCGCTTACATAAAAAATTCCAACACATATTATTCCGTTGAATAAACAAAGCAACATTTTTGAAAATTTACAACGAAGACAAAAAAGTCATAGCCGATATGATCTAACCGCAGCACCTAACGAACATGCAACTAATCTAAATCATTACTGTAAACTAGACGTACCTCGTCTTAAGCTCCATCACAAAAAAGATTTGGTAGTAAAATTAGTGACAGCAAATAAATAAAAATAATATCGATATTACTTTACGATTCAGTCGTATGAACGGTACCGTTTTTACGGACTCGTCTGATAGATACAATAATATTTTAATGGTAACTTTGATTCTCTGTAATGGTATACAAGTCTTATTGTTAAATGACTGCCATCAACAAGTGCAACTCGTGTAGATATTCCGAACGAGACCATGACGGAAAGTTGCTCTTTAACCGCGTTTGCCCGGCACTGGCGGCAACGGCGGTGACGCTCGACATGGCTCCGGCGGAAAGAATGCACGCGACGGCCTCCAGCTGTCTGGACGCCGAGTGGTGGTGGCTGCTGAAAAGTGTAGTGCAGGCCGCCGCGGATATGCGCTCGACGGCCTGTACCCCCACCCCCACCCCCCAGACAGGATATACGACCGGAGTAGTATAGTACGATCACAACCACGTGGGTCCGGGAAACGGCACCGCGTGTCCCTTCCCGGAGTCAAAGCGCTACCTGTCGGTCCGGATGCGCGGTGACCGGATCTCACACCTAACCGTCATCATTTTCCACGAACATTTAGGGACGTTAAAATTCTGCCGTATACTGAAATAAGAGACCCGAGGTGGATTACCTTTTGACCCTTTAAATCCTGATAACACCGGCCCTTGATAACCTTTTCGGGCTATTCTAAATACTTGGCACTATTTTGTGTACGTTACTTATAATTCAATGATTTATCGAACATTTACATGACAGTCAGAAATACGTAATTGTTATTTATCCTCCATCGACTTTTAAGAGTTAGTTTAAACAATTTTTTTTTTTTGTAGTTTTTAAACTGGGTAGTAAAACATGATTTCTTGAAAACAAATATTACTCTTATTCGAATGAAAATTCTTACATTTTTAGACCAATTACATCGACACATTTTAACTTACGTATTGCAAGTTTCTATAAAAGAAAATAATAAGTTTGATGAACTTATGATTTTGTAAGTCAAAATTATTATTAAAATAATATGAATTGACTTATTTTTAATAAATAAAAAACAATTACTATATTCTTTTATAATTTAAATTAAATATACTGAGTATGTGATTCTTTTAATGTATTGCACCCAGAGAAAAACCTCGATCTATATAATAAATTCATTGTTCAATTTGATAAATATATCATTACTATTGAATCAATGATATATTTATCAATATGATATTTTTTTTTCTTGTCTTGAACAATAATTATTTATAAGAATAGTTATTTTGTTCGTATTAATAAAACATTATCATAAACCCTTGATAAAATTTCTCTTTCAATTTTGATTGAGGTTTTTCTTTGGGTGTGCAACTCTCACAAATTTAGATTCATTAGATAATATTAACTATATATAAATAATATAAATTGTAATAACAACACGAAAAATCATTAAAACTATCGACATTAATTTCAAATTTTCTTACTTATAATAACAGATTGATTGATTGAGACATAAGTCTCTTAGAAAATAAACAGATTTTAAAAATAGAGTTGTTACATCAATGAATATTCATTAAACAAATCGCAATTATTAAAAAATTACTGGTGTTTCGTAATTAGTATACTCGAGTTTTATTGAGTGCGTTTAATTGAACATGGATCAACTAAACTAGTACAGTTTCTAAGAATATTTTTATGATTTTGTTCTTAATCCTTTTTTTCATAGCTATAAGATAAAAGAGTATAACAATTGAAAGTTATGAATAGTCAATCGTTATTCATAGCCTTAAAAAAATATTTTTCATTTTATGATGTTTAACAGTCAGGATTACTCGACTAATCTATGCCTGATGAAAAAATGATATTATAACAATGACTAATGATAAAAGTTAAATAAAATATAAGTAAGAATATTTTGATGATATAACTCTTATACTCTGTATAATTATCTAATTTTACTAAACATTGACAAAGGTTAACCCCTAATTAAATTAATTAAAAGAAGAGAATTAATTGTATATTCTTAATTCTACACTTTTATTAAAAATGCAAATTTTTAAATAGTTCTAATAAATGTGTGAGCATTAAAGTTGTTTCCCTCAGTATATGGGTACACACGATCAGTGTTTGGTTGACCGGCATAATACAGTAAAATATTAGTATGATACTATATTGGGTAATTTATTTTTTAAATTAACTATGTGTACTCTCGTCGTTATCGGTTGCTATAATAGTATAATCGCTATAATTATTATTTTCATTTCTATTTTCTACTGCGACCTTTAAAACAGTAATTGTGTATTATTTTATTATATTAAATTTGACAATTTTTTATACCCATGACTAGCGATATTATATTTAAAGTCGTACCCGACCACTTGCACCCACTAACCGCACTGGTACTTAGTTATTAAAAGCATTAATAATACAAAAACTGTGTACACAAAAAGCGCTATTGAAGCTATTTTCGTTGTTGATAATTTAAAATTATCATAGTTATTTTTGTAATGATTTGAGTAAAAAAATTTTTAAGTTTTTCTGTTGAGAATTTTCTTTGTAGCAAATAATCAATTTAAACCGTCATGTTGACCTAGAAAACTCAGGTTTTAACCGTTGGGGTGCGCTATTAAACAGCCTTTGCATCCATCAGCTGACGTCCAGGTCGTTTGAATACAATATAATAATATACATACATATTATTACAATATCAACTGTATGCCGTAACGTAGTACTGCAGCAGTTTTGTTACATACACGATGTACGTTTTATGTAACAAGAAGTGAAAAAGAGAGAGAAGAGACGCTGTACAGATTTTATTGAAAGTTCAAACCGCGTGCGCCTTAATGCACCTCGTACCCAGGCAGTACACCGTTTGCTGTTAGTGTTGTTGCATACCTATCCCCTTACTCACTTAACACTTAAGTGACTGTTGTTGTATTGCTCTGTTGGAGAAACTACTCCGTATAACTTTCCATCTGCTTGATAATCCCAAATGATTATTTCACCCGTCTACTAAAACACCTCGAGCTCTGTCAATTTCATTTACCGACCGATTTATAAATTGTAGACGGATAAGTCGGGTGCTGCCACTGAATAGATCCGGTTTTACCGTCACTCGGGAACCGCAATAGTTTTAACGACAGTCTAATGTCTAGAATTATTTTTAATTTGCATCGATCGTGGTGTAATCAAATAAATCAAATCACGCGATTGTAACAAACTGTTTACATTTCTCAACTTAAGAACGTGCTGAGTTCACTATCTGTTTTCACCTTAGTTGATTAAATCGATTTTGATATGAGATAGACCGTTGTCAATATCCAACACGTTACGGTAGAAATCCACTGACAAACATACTCTTGTAAATTCATATTCTGAGAACATAAAGTACGATAATTTAAGATACATTTAGCCAAATGAATTTTGGGGTTAAAAAATGTCATCATTAAATTTATCAATAAATGAGATAACAGTGACGTGGTAACGTGTTGGGTTTGAGCATTTTTACGATTTATTTACTTAAAGCAAATAATACAGAAATGCTTAGCAGAAAACTGCAAAAATAATGAGAAAGTTTTTTAATAATTGTTTTTAAAATACTCTTAATTTTAATGAACACCGTTTATATGATTTATTTTTTCCAGCGGACTTAAATAATTTCAAATTTTATAAACTTTCATCATTAAGACCAAAATTTTTCATTTTAATGATACTTAAAATTATCTATTAAGATTTCTTTATGAGAACTAAGAACATCAAGAAAACTTTTATGATAATCCTTGATAACAAATTAAATTAATTAAACAAGTAAAATATAAGTGAATTAATCGTGAACAAGAAAATTAATATTTCATTGGGTATAATTGTAATTCCGTCTAATTAAATTATCTACGTAGATTTTTTTTAACAATAGTCACTCGATTTTTCTTAAAATAAAAATTGTATTAAAAAATTTATTTTTGGTATATTAAAATTTTATATATTTTACGATTTGTTAATTAATAAGTATTTATTTAATTCATCCCTTTTATATAAGAAGGGTATCGGACTTTTATTTTGTGGTAACATACACAATTAAATAGCTCATAAAATTAAAAATGATCTAATTAAAAAAATGACTGCTCGATAACAACTTGGCTCAATATTTTGGTAGTTTTAAAATATTAAGAGGAGATGAAGTGTTAGCTTTCCACATTAATCTGCTGCGCTCATAGTCTACATTTAAAAATGATAATAACTTCCAAGTACTAGTCCAATATTTGTTATCGACCATACATTTTCATAATTAGATCATTTTTAATTTTATTAATTAGTTCAATGTGTATGTTCACATTTAACAAAAATAAATTTGATACTTTTATAAAGTATAAGAGATATACTAAAAAATACTTAATAATTGATAAATCAAGAAATTTGTGTAACTAAAAAATACCAAAAACAATTTTCTTAATATAATTATCAATTTGAAATAAATAGATTGACTAACTAATAAAAATTATCCTGTATTTGTTGTTTTATTGAGTTTATTAAAATATCCTCAAAGCACTCATAAAATTTTCTTCAACACAATTATTTTGTTAAAAATTAAACAATAGGTAGATATTATAATGCATTATACGTAAAGTTAAGTAAATAGATTTCTGAAATATATTTATTTGTGTATAAATATTTTTCAATTCTATTGACATCAAAAAAAAAAAAAATTATTAAATTAACTAAGGATTTTCCATTTGTTAGTTAAATTATTATTGATTATTTAACGATTAAACACAACATGAGAAATGTTGCTTTTGGATTATAGCCCATCTATAACATCTTTCCATCTAATTTTGGGTCTCCCTCTACCTCTTCTTCCGTAAACATTGATTTCCATAACTTTTCTTACAGCTTCCAATTTCTCTCTCCTCATAATATGACCAAAGTAAATTTCTCTCAACTTATCCACATTTGACGCTACACCTGAACTCCCTCTCATATGTTCGTTTTTATCCTATCTTCTCTAGTCATGCACTCATTCATCTAATCATTTTCATGTCTGCTACACTCATTCTCTATTCTACGTTCTTATCAATCGCCCAACACTCTGAGCCCTATATCACAGCTGGTCTCACTACTGTCTTACAGAACTTACTATTCAGCCTCAATGAATTTCTCGTATCACATAACACACCAGACGCTTCACTTTACTTCACCAACCTGTACTTAATCTTGTATCTTACATCCTCGTCAACATCACCGTTCTTTTGCACAACTGATCCTAAATACTAAAAACTTTCCACCTCTCCTATCACTTCCTTGCTTATTTTCATTGATCTTCTCATTTCACCTAACTCGTGTTCTCCTAGATCAAACTCATACTCTATATACTCTG